AAAAAATACAAGTTTATGTAAAGAATATCACATTTTTCTTCTTTGGTTTTGAGCATAACCAAAACAGAAAATTTTTAATTTAGCTTTTAAGATAATGCAGATCTTGATCAACATTACATCATAACTTTAAAACAAATTAAAAGTTTCCTTTTTTGGGTTTGACAATACCAAAGTTGAAGAACAATATATGTATATCCCATGTTCGATCTTCCACTTAGGATCCACTGATGTTATTAACAGGTATCCTTATTACTTCTAGCGTCTAACCTGGTATTGTCTCTATTGGTTTTAGTGTTGATAATATTTTTCTATTGTTTCTCTATACAGTATTTTATTCATAACTTGTATTTGTTCTCCTCTACTATTCCTCTTATATTATATGTTACAATTGTTTATATTGGATATTTGTTTCTTTGCTTTTTATCAGTATAAAAAATTTTTTTAGTTTAAGTGTGATTGATACTTTGTAATACTTGTTCATTCAAAGGTTGGATAGTTAATATTGTATTTTAATTCTACTATTCTCTTCTCTTAAGAAGTTTATTGAGTTAATATCTATTATATTATTGGGTAAGTTTATAGCCATATGGATCCATCTGTTGTGAGTGCTTGAAAAATTAATTGTTTCTTCCATCATTGTGCTATTTTACTGAGTTGTTGCTGATACACTTCTTGGATTTTCTTGATATCTTGAATTTTTGCTAGTTTTTACTACCAGATCCTCTCTATCACTGATTATATTTTCTTCTGATTCTTCCATAAGTTTGTCTATGTTTTTAGAATATCTGATGGCACATTCATTTTCTAGAATATCTACTCTCTTATTCATGTCTTAAAAGGTCCTTTTTATTGTATTTCCTTGATGCCTCTTGAATTAAGATTAGGATCCTCCAAATATCTCTCTCATGTTGGTTAGCTTTGGAGCTGTACCCATATTTGAGGATATTTGCATAGCTTTGAGTATTGTTACTGGTTTTGTATGTCCTATTATCATGAAAATTGAAATTTGTATTGCTGAAGTGTTGAGAGTGAAGTTTTGTGTTGTTGAATCTGTTGATATATTGTTTTGGGAAAGAGTCTCAGACCCTTCAGGGCATATGCTGAAGTTGTGTTCAGGTGAGCCACAGATGTAACACAATTTAGTTTTATAGTAGGCCTATAATGTTTGGGTTCTCTTGATCATGGGAGTGATGATTTGACATTCATGAGTTCTTCTTTTATCTGAAGTATGAAGATGACAAACTTTTTGCCCAGTTGTTGTTATAATGAGAAATGTATACTGACTTTGCTTTTGTGCTAGTAAACATGATTGTTAGATTTGCTGCTGTTGTATTTGGTGACAGTTGAGTGAGTGTGGTGCTGTAATGCTCCCTTTGTTCTTTGATCTCATGTATTTTATAGTAAGTTAATATTCTATATGAGTATAATCCTTTAATAAGTGCCCAATTCTGGCTGATTTTCACATAGCTAACATGTTGGAAAAAGTGATTTTTGCTATTTGAAATAGTTCTACTTTCTATAGAGTTATATAATCGATGTTAATTTGTTTACTGAAGAATTTTGTGAAATCAGTTTTGATAAAGTGAGAGGAGATATCCTATACTTGGATAGTATATAAGTTGCTTTCTTAGAATCCTAATAAGCAACCTTTCTTAATTTAATATTTTATTGTCTGTGATATTGATCTTACATGCTCTTTATGAATTATAGTAATTGTTAAAAATAGTGGTAATCTGTAGTTTTTTGATAGGATATTCATATCTTATGTATTGCAGGAAGGGTAGGTATCCTACTTTCTATTTAATGAAGTTTATTTTTTTCTCAGGTGGTATTTGTCTTGATAACTATTCACAGTCAATATAAGTCTTTCTGGGCATGAGAGTCTCTTGTTGCTGCTGAAGTTTAGGTGGGCTGATTTTCTTTCTATTTATCTCTTCATAATTGTTATAGCTATATCCAGTCTAATTAATAATATTTATCTGTTCATTCTGTACTGTAGATCTTGATAGCTTTTCTCTTTGAATTCTCAAACTGTAGTGAGGGAGCTTGCTCTACTGCTCACTGAATCTTCTGATAGTTTTATAATTAGTACTCTTGTTTCTTTCTTCTCTTTCATGATCCATTTTTCTGCCTTTATCTCTATTTCTTTAGACTATTTAGTTGTGTCCTCTTGACTATTCCCTTTGTTTACTACTTTTTTCATAAGTGCTGTTCTAGTTTCAAGAAGGTGTGTCTGAGTTGGATGGTTAATATTACTACTTTGGCTTTCAAGACCTTGCCATTATTTTTGCAGATTTTATCAATGTTTTACTCTAATGTTGTCTATCTTTCTAGGCTTCTTAATTGCCTTGTAGAAGTCATCTTGATGGAATGCTACTTTGTAGCTAAAGATGAGTTTTTATATTTTTGCCTTATAAGAAAATTTTTTGGGATTTGAAATTTTTCAGAAAAGAGTATATGATATATTCTTTTATTGTTACTGCTATAAAAAAGTATACTTTTATAATTTGTATTTTTTGTTTGTTTAAAAGGTTATGTCTATTGCTTTTAATCTTCTATTAAATATCTTGTGTTTAAAGATTCTTTTTGTAATTTTATTGTGAATTATTATATTGAGACCTTGTTCAATCATTTGAAATTCATGATGAGTTCAATTTATATAATAATTGAAACATTTCTAATGTTTTGAAATTTGGTCAGTTCTATTAATCTCCATTATTACTATTATGTTTCAGTCTTCATTATTAACAAAGTTGAACTTAATTTACCATTTTAAGTTGTTTGTGAAATCTCTAATATTTTATGTCGTAATTTTTCATATGTTTTTAATGTTTTATATAGGTTTATACTATGTTTTAAGTTCTATTTATATTGAAATCATGTTTTGTTGAGTTATTTTTTGATTTGGATTTATGTTACTTATATATGCACTATACAGATTTCATGAATACATCAGGCTTCTTCCTAGAGTTACAATTAAGGCATCTGTACAAACCTCTTATTACATATTTATTAATAGATAATATATATTTTTGAAGTAATCCTATCTATAAAAGCAGCTATATCTATTTTACTTCTATATACAATACTACTTATTTGAAAAGATCTGCAATTCTTTCTTAATTTTTTTCTAGAACAATTTTATTTATATTAAAGTAGTCTGCTTATCAGGTCTCAAATTTTATTTATCCTAGACTTTTCAGATTTTTTCTTTCACCAAGACCTCTTGATAGTCAAGTCTATGAAACCCAGCATAGCAACATACTTGAATTCTTGAACAAATTCCTCAACACCAAAACAGTGAACTAAAGTTTTCTTCAGTTGCTTTACTATTTCTTCTTTCAGCAATATACTATCAGTTTAATATTTGCTTTTTTATTACCAATTTTTCATGTAATGTGGTTGTGTTATGATAATTCTACCCAATTTTGAACATTTAACCATATCACAATTTTTATATAGACCATCCTGTGACCACATTGAAAATCCAATTTGACTGGTGATTAGTAGCTATATTTGGAAGCTTTAATTAGTTTACAGTATGCCAATAGGGTAAATCTAACAGTATCAGGAGTTGCCTCCTGGAGGATTAAATCTAGTGATCTTAAATACGACCTATGGAATGCTAATCACTGCACTGTTGACCCATAGGTCTGAATATGAAACTACTTAACTGTTATAACCTTGATTTTTATCTATAATTCAAGAAATAAATTCAAAAAATCTCAAAATGAGCAATCTATATCCAAAAATATTTTAGTAGTTGCATATAACGTTATATTACTCGAATGTGAGCACACTTCACAGAATTTGGATCAAGAAAAAATTATGCATATGTTAACAAGTAAGTGCTTATCCATTTTCTGGCTGTGCGAAAGCATTGATATAGTTGATAAGGAATCAAGATGAGTTAGGTTTCTTCTCAAATGAGTAAAATATCGACTCTAGTTGAAAATTTACCCCTAATATTTTATTAAATTTCTATAAAATACCCCCAGAGTTAAGCTATTAATCAGAAGCATGAGCTGTCTAAAGGTTGTATTGAAGAATCTGATTATACTAGTTAAACATGATCTAATTAATTACATATAGATTAGCCAAAAATTTCTCAGGCAAAAATCCCAAAAGTAAGTTAAGGAAGAGGACTTAATAGTATTAAAAAAGCTTATAAAATTATCTTCCAATTCCTGAAATTTGGGAATAAAAGAACCTAAAGAATGTGCAGTATATAAGAATTTGTGGATTGTTTTATTTATTTTACATGCTTTCTCATACTATTGTTGAATTGATAAATACAATAATTCTGTAACTTTTGAATAGTGCAATCATATACCTATGTTTAATAATATTATCATAAAACACAAAAATTTTTTTACAATATTATATTTTGAAATAAAAGGGAACTAATTATATTTAAACAATAAGATTGAATGTGAGAGTAAACTTTATTATTTATTATAAAGAGTAAACCATGAATTATAAGTCGCAAAAACATGATTTTCGGTCTCACGTAATCACAGCTGTTTAACTTATTCAAAATTCAGCGTCTAAAGCAATTCTCTGTATTCAGTACAAGTCAATAATAAAATTATTATCAATTATGTTTGCCGAGATTATTGGAACATACGCGAGAGGAATAGGAAACTGTGGATCCCAAAATACTTCACTTATGGGAATTATGATCTGAAAAGCTGGAAAGTTTGGCGCATTGCAACCAGCAGAATCGTTGAAAGGATCCCATGATTACATTTTAGCATTCCCAAAGTCCCACCGCTGTACTGCCATTCCTTGACGATAAAGCTTAGCCTAATATTTAAAAGCAGACGAATCAGGTGCAATGCTTAACTTAGTATCATCGAATAATAAATAAGACATGCCATCATTGATCTATAGAAGTATCCAGTTGCAGGTTCTCGAATACTTGGTCTTGGCTCTAAAATCTTGATATTAATGACAGCACGAACGTATTTTTTTTGCATCCAAAACTAACACTTTTGTCCCAAACGACCAACACTTTGGCCCACAGCTACCTCACATAGTATCTGTGCATGAGGATTTCCCTATATAAATCATGTTGAAGATCACATAACATAAACGAATACAAAAATCATATCAACATACTTTGATATCACTGGGAGGACGAGGTATAATGGTAGAAATGGAAGGTCTTGGAACAATTGCTTTACTTGGGTATACAGTAACATCAGGAGCTATTTGAACCCCACTCCCATCAGGTGCATAGTGTACTATATGAAAAGATTATAAGAATTGAAATTCAATAAAAAGAAGCAAAATAGAATAGATTCTCATA